TTTTTTTTTTTTTTTTTAACGTTTCACCCATCTCGTTCGGGAAACAGGCCGCATCGAGAATAGACCGAACGACGGTAGGTAGTTTCATTTCGAAGATTGGCGTGCAACGGCGTGTAAACTTACGCCGAGAAAACACGTAGAGTGATTGACACATGAGCGATTCCAGGCAGAGAGTCCCATATCATTCGGTGAGTTATTTGGGTTGGAAGGTGTTACATAAATGCATATGTATATTGGTCATCTTATATGTTCATTCCACAACGCAGTTTCATTTGGTATAGTGTATCGACATTTCTTTTATCTCGTTTACTCGTTGAAATATTCAATAGATCGTTAAGTTGTTAAATGTTTTCTTAAAGCACATACCTACCTTTTTTGCTTTTTTTTTCTTTTTCTTTTTAGTTTCATCTTACGCGGTAAGAAAGAGAGGTCGAGCGAGCCTCTGTAGGTTGAGTTCTTTGACTTTGTCTTCCTTACTGATCGTCGGTTAACGGTACCCATCGGGATATTAGACCACACGTAGTGATTATCAGGTATATCGGGGAGTAAGAGAAGGTGTAGAGAAAGAAATGGAGAATGAGAGAAGAAAGATAGAAATACATCGAGCTAACTCGAGTCCAGCAATTAGCCAGTTCGACCGTTCGGCGTTGAAACGTTCATTTAGAAAACGCAGAGGCGCTTACAGGCGTCGTCCAATAGGGTAATTTTAAAGTAACAGAATAGGCAGAGCCAGAGGCACCACGATGTTACCAGCCCCCACCGTTCAAAGGCATTACTTTCGTGCCGACCCCAGTAATTACCATGCGAAATTACCGCATTTTGCATCCTTAATAGGCATAGGTGGATATAGGTAGGAATGTCAGGCATGCCATAGGAATATCGCGAAATAAGAGAAGAAGAAGAAAAAAAAACAATATATATATATATATATATATATATATATATATATAAAGGGGAGAACGAAGAAAGGGAAAATCGGAGAATTAACTTTGACTACTGTGCGAGCATTCGTGTCCTTGTACGTACCTACTTATGTTAGAGCTCGAAGCGGATCTTCCTAGTGAAGAACGTTGGTTGGGTATATATATATATATATATATACGGTACTATACTCGGCTTGATTGGTTCTCGACTTACCTTAATGATACATCGAGAATGATAGTGAGAAAGAAAGAGAAACGAATATTTTTCATTTATGAACGTAAGAGTTAATCCGACTACTCGAGATATCATACATTTATAAGTAAAAGAACGAACGAAAACTACTCTCCTCTCGTTTCATTCTATCTCTTTCTATTTTATACTTTTATTTTTCTTTCTCTTTCTCTCTTTTTCTCTCTTTCTCACTTTTCCCTTTCAGCGTATCCCTTAACGAAGATGGAAAGATGGGATAGAGGCATCAATTTCATCGAATTAAGATACGTACTGGTGTACGTATGTAATCTTTACTAGATCGCAGTAACTCATTCATCGAAGAGGCCATTTCTCTTGACAAATTGCCAAGATTTTACTTTCGTCCATGGTTACTTTGCCAATTAAACATTTTTTTTAAAATACTTCTGTTTTTTATTTATTTTCTCTTTTATTTTCTGTTTTGTTCTTTCTTTCTTCTCCATCACGTAGTAACTCGTAAACATATTTTCCTGCTTAAGATATTCCAAGACTTCGGACAAAAGTTTGACGACTTTATAGGATTACGATGTTTAAACGTAGAAACATCGGAACACATTTTCCCCCCTTTTTTTTAATCTTATAATATATTTTATATATACAACGTTTTTTACTCGATAAAAGAACAAGGAACATCTTCGAGAGATAACGTTTTCTCGGTCAGGCCTTGGAAGTTCTGTGTAACGTTCATGTTTCTATGGCGTGTAAACGTTTTGGCCGTGGGCCAACACAGCTCGACTAACGAAATCGGCACGTTTATATCGAACAATGCTTTTGGAATAATGAACAACCTGTAGGACATCGTACGATGCGTTCTATTACCGTTCTAAATGCTCAACGTAAAGATAAAAAGGGATGATGAAGGAGAAAGAGAGAGAGAGAGAGAGAGAGAGAGAACGAATACTTTTGACAAATAATTCGAAAAAAATCGTCGAGATACTTACTTCGAATCGTGCCGAATAGAAATACACATATTATACATATATATTTTCTTGTATCGCGGATTTATCGGCGAAGCTTTGTTTCTTATTACATAATCCTCACGAATTCGCACCGTGGAAGATTACCTGAGGGTACGCGTGTACGATGCCATTCGTTTAAAGAAACATATTTCATTCCTATTTTCCGTAGCACTTTAGTGCTTATTTACCTGTCTATTAAAAGGAATTATTACGCTCATAAATCAAAGATCCGTTCGTTAGAATAAGCATGGCTTACGTAAAAACACGTAATCCCACGTATCTTAACATAATATGTACATAAATGCATATATATTTATATATCTATATGTATGTAACTATATATATATATA